CAGAATGTCCCGTCGAATGTTGGGAGGAAGCTTGAACCATGGAGACTTTTGGAACAGCGGAACAGGCCTCTCAATCATTTCGCTAGGATCTTCATCCTGGAACCCTGGCGGTGTGAGGGCACGAGGCCGTGGATTAGGCAACAACATCATCTCGTCCACATGGTCTCTCCAATGAGGCAGGGAATCGTCAGCTTCATCAGGCCACCAATACGATGGCGACATTGGTGAAAATGTGGGAGAGGTTGGCGTGGACGGAATGTCTATGTGGTAATAATCAGACCACTGGTGTGGTGAGGGATATTGTTCTGCTTCTTCTATCTGTCTCAGTGTTTCTGCTCCAGCCTGATCGCGTCAGGCGGAGGACAAGAATTGCACAGCGACGAACCTGCTCCCTGCATTTCTGGCTGATCTGGGTCTGGGGCCCGTCCTCTCTCTGGAGAATTATCCATTGTTGCTCCTTAGCGAAATGTGATGATGGAGGAGGAAAAAGAAAAGAAGATGACGATTGTTGCCTGCAGCGTTACATATGTTGATGGAGAGCTGACGGTGCACGTGCTTTATCCTGCCAATGCGGTTTACATAATCCAGCATTTGTTTCCAAGGCTCCCAGGGTAGATTGAGAGTCTCGATGAAATTATGACGAGATATATAACGTGCAGATCATACCATCGGAAGTGTGCACAGCAAAAGAGGAGTTGTTGGAATACGCAGGTAGCTAATAATAACCCCATTCACTTTGTTAAGATGTATTGCTAATTTGGACCGAGGACCAAAAGGCCAATGCTCAATGATCTGATTCAAACTGTCAATACTACCAATGAGATCTCATACATCACAACTTCGGCTCAGGTTCTCTGGCAATTGTAAGCAAAACTACCCTAGCATCTAGTGTCGGATCATGACTACTCACTTGTACTCATTTTTCATCTCCCTAAGTTTCTCCATGACGCTGACTGGGTCTGTCTCTCCAGTCGCCCTTTGGATGTCGGGGTCCTATTTGGTTAGTGCAGGATTCTCAACTTTGCTGATATGAGGGCCTACATCCAGTCTCATGAACACATTATGTTGCTAAACAAAAAATATCAGTCAAGTGCTCGTAACCAAACCCATGGGACTTCTGCGCGACCTTTTCGTGTCCTATCGTGTACTTGCCCACTGTGACGGGGTTTGCGTCAGAGAAGCTCAGAAGCTGCTGCACTGGTTTACTCTGTAATACAGAGATCGCGAACTTGGCATTGCTTCGAGTATACTCATGGCCAGGCTATGTCGTCAGTCTAATTCCTATGTAAAGTTAACACTGAATCGGGTAACTTACAAATACGACCGTATCGTCTGGAAGTGATGCAAGATGCTTGTTCAGTGCCACGTGCATCTCCTCTGCAGTCCCCTCAAAGAACCTCCCACACCCTGTCGTGTATCTGTAAGCAAACTATGTCTTTCCCAGATAGTTTGAGCAACTAACCGCCAGTGAACAAGGTGTCGCCTGTAAAAACTGCCTTTTGATCCCCATCTTGGAAGAAGAAACAGATGCTATCCTGCGTATGACAAGGCGTATGTATACTAGTTATCGTGATGTTCCTAAGCTTGAATGTCTCACCATGACCTGGAGTTTTCGTGACTCCTTCACAGTCCTTGCCTCCGATAATGTCAAGTTTGGGGTTACCTAGTGCAGCTAGCTAAGTCTTCTCGTTAGTCCCCAAGGTCCAACGAGACACTATACGACACATACAATCTCTTCGTTACCACCAGCGTGATCCCAATGACTGGATGATATTAGAGAGAAGCACTATTAAGCAACGTTGGCTGGATGACTGACTGATGAGTGTTTATCACAGCGACAAGATTGAGTTTGTTCGACTGAATAGCTGCAATGAGAACCGGAATGACCCTCAAGACTTTGTCAGTTGAGTAGTAAGTAAATCCAGATCAAGTGCTTACTCTTCAGGATTCGCAGGGTCTATAATCAGAGCGTCGCGACTCTCATCGTCGACAACCAGATAAGCCCAGTTGTCGTTGCTTCCCCACCCTGCTCGGAATCAGCGAGAAGTAGCAGACAATGGTTTGGCGGTCACGTACACATAGGGATCGGCTGAATAAACATGTTGCAAAGCTTTTGGGTTGATAAGATAAGGGATGCAGGCGACGATGTTATCTGCAACCGATAGTTTAGTGGTCCAAGTCATTTGTAGTCTCTATATCTATGCCCCTCCTGTTGAGCTTGTGACGAAATTGCATCCATTCAGCCGAGGTAAGGTAATTAGAACAAAAGAGGAAATTTTTACAGAGGAGTTTAGTGCGAGGCGACGCACTTCCGCCCCCGTCAGTGCCGGGCCAGGATGTGAGCGATTGAGCCAAACGTGATTGGTGTTCTAGGCTTATCAGCCACTACTGAACTTTAGGTGTCAGCGCGGCCAACCGCTAATCTTTAGAGGCACGACCCCTGAAACACTTATCTTCATCCGGTATAACAGGCACTGTTAGGTAATCGGTCACAGGGTGAGCCTGGCATTTTGCGGGGTAAATGCGCTGAATCTCAACTTCTACCGATCGTTATCTTGGACTTGAACTGACAGAAACCAACAGTAGCCACGCTGTAACAGTATTTATTATCATATTCATCATTACCACAAGTCACCAAGATAAACTATTGAGTAACTCGTTATTTTTATTGTTGCTCTTCGTAGCAAATGCCTCCTCATCAGCCCAGTCAGGGCCGAGTCGCTCGCTCCAGGGGCGGTTGCGTAACGTGCAGGTCAAAACATGTAGGCATCGGAACTATCCCCTTACTCTCAATTTGTACTCATCCATTTATAGGCGAAATGTGACGAAGGAAAACCGACCTGCAAGTCATGCGCTGCACGTGGCCAGAAATGCGGTGGATACCGTTTGGATGTTCGTTGGTCTACCAAGCATGAGAAGCGCACTCGACAGCCTCAATCGCGACCCCGTCAGTCTCGAACAGAGGATTCACCCTCGGCACGGTCCACGGAAGCTCAATCAGACACGCATTCCCAGGCCTCATATAGATCAGAGAATGCACTCGTGGCTGGTAGAGACTCCATAAATTCGGCAGCAGCGATTATTCCTATTAATTTTGACCCAGCCGCGAGCGCGTCGGTCTTTCATCTCAACGGCATTGTGTCACCCTTGTTCCCAATGTCTGCAGACGGCGATTTCTTCTCACATCAACTGGAACATGAAAACGAGGAAACAAGTCATACTTTTAGTGGCACCGACAGCGAAAACCACGACGCGTACTCTCTATCAAACATGACGTCCTCCGTATCGCCCTTGCAGTGGGGAGACGATTTCTTAGGCTCTGTTCATAGCGTTAACGACCTAGTTTCGGCTCCAGAAACCCTCTCTATTCCAGTTGACAATATGACCTTTGACTTCAACATGCCCTTACCGACAGTCGACCCTGGTAGGCTGACCTTCGAAATGACACCAAATGCAATCACCTATACGCCATCTGTCCTCATCGAATACTGGTTTCGCCATGTCTGTTCTCTCTGGTCCAATTACGATTCCGATGTCAACCTTAACCGCACAATTGCTGCTGCATTATGGTCCAACTGTGAACTCGTTTATCTCAGTCTGCAGGCTATGTCGGCCGCCCACTTGTCAGCTAAAGTGCCAATGATGCGACAAACATCGATAACCAACATGAAGGCGGCGGCCGAGATTATGAGAGCTGACTTACACACCGTTAAGTCCCATCAACTCTTCAATACAGTACCTGCAAGTCTGTTGTTCTCTCTGATGGGAATTGGAACCAGCATCTGCTGGCTCAATGCCACTCAGCTGGGACTGCCATTTCTCTGCGAAGCAAAAGCAATCCTTCATGCTGTTAACAAAAACAAGCACGCATTATCTGAAGAACAACGTCGATTGCTATGCTTCTTCAATAAGAGTTGGCTCTACTGCGAAATGCTACTGTCGATGGTGACATCGAGCTGTAAAAGCCTACAGAAGATGGAAGAATTGGGCGACGTCGAGGAAGCTGTTCCTGTCACTGCGCCTGTGACGGCAGACCCAGCCGAACAAGTTCCGCACCCATGGACAGGAGTCTCAAGCGACAGCTATAAACTGTTCATGCGGGCAATGAAACTTTGTCACAAATTTAGACGCAAGATTCGGAAACCACAAGATATGTTTGCATCAGCCAACATCAGCGCCGCCATGCAGCTCATTGAAGAAGCCGCCGTGGTGGAGAAGCAGACTTGCGATCTGGACGTGGAATTTCGCGAGACAATTGGAGAGACCAATGACAAGAAGTCGCCTAACCAGCACCTCTTCAACGTTGCCGAAGCCTACCGCCAATCAACCCTGTTACAATTGTACCAGACCTTTCCAGAACTCATCGTAAGACGACACGCGCTGGATGAGTCCCAAGCGAAAGATGCTCAAATTTTATGGGATAACTGGATCACCCCGATCGCTTTGAACCTGGTAGGCATACTCAAACTATTACCTACAGACTCGGGTAGCAAGATGACCCAGCCATTGCTCTGCGTCTCAGCCAGCACTGGACTAAGGCGAAAACACATTGAAGTCAAGGCCGCTACTCCAAAAGACATTCCCTTTAGTCAAGATGCCAGTCTGGAGGATTGCGACATGATAAATTACCTTGACTTCGCTGGCCTTCACGATGACCTGCCAGAGGAGTCTGAATCAGAGCCAGATCCAGATGCAAATGCGGGAATCATGGCTGCCAGGCAATTTCTTCACAATCGTCTGGACACGCTCAAGACCGTCCTACCACCAAAGCCAGTGGTAGTAGCGCAAGACTTGACCAAAGCTATCTGGCAAGCCTATGACACGGAACAGTGTGCGAAGTATGCGACGCATTGGATAGATGTGATGGATAGTCGGAATTTGAAGTCGAACTGGGGGTAGTGTAGTCCAATATGTATTTTTAATGAATGACTGTAGTTTACATTCGAAACCAAGTAATCCTACATAGCGCACAAAACCCTTGCTTCAATATTCCTAATACGTTACAGCTTCGGTGGCTTGCAGCACGACGAATCACTCATAGCCGCCAGCTTGCTAACTTTATCAGTGGTATCAAATCCAGCCTTCTTAGCAGCCACTTCACTGGGAGTGACTGAGTAAGAAGGAGGCACGTCCATGACAGGGTTGCAGGTGAAGAAGTGACGGGGTCTGAGCAGGAGTGTAATCGGCTCAGCGGGCATGACTGGGAAATCCTCTGGAGCGGGGAAATGCGTGATACCAAACGTGTGCCATAGGACGATATCAGTATTAGCGACGCTCTTGGTACCGTCACCAATCCAAGTCCCGAGGCCTCTGGAAGGCTCACCGGATGTCTGAGCAACGTGGTTGCCAGCGGCCCAGAGCTCATCATCCGCATCTTAAATTGGTTAGCATGATGCATAGATACGTAAGGATGGGTGATGTCTTACACTTGGTCACATGAACAGCATGACGAGCAAAGAAGGCTCTCTTCCATACAAGAGAGCCCTCCTTGGGCATCAGGTTCGGCACATCTCGGCTCACAAGCTTATATGAGACAGGCTTGCCACTCTCAGAGTTGAGCTTGTTCTCATTGACAATATCCCAGGAGCGAGATGTAGCACCGTTATAGTCAGTTATAGCCTGGCCTGTCGTCTCGAGTCGAGTGCGCTTAGCATAAAAGGCGTTGCCGTAGAGGTTGTCTGGGCTGCCAACCGGGGCATCCGAAGGTACGGCATCAACCATATGGACCGTGTTCTCGTGTCCGTCGATGCTGGGGTTGATACGGAGAAGGAAGAGATGCTGATGGTTATGGGCGTTGACACCTGAGTAGTGATTAGTCTGAGGATTGTAGCTGTCATTGCAAGACTTACCCTTCTTGACTTGCATGTGACGATACCAAATAAGCGATGACGCGTCTTGATCCAATGTCTCAGTTGTCCTACGACAGGGCGACCTCCTTTTGACATCGGGGAGATGGAAGCTGCCTAGCCTGCAGGGCGTCCTAGTCCAGCAATTATGCTTAAATAGCCACGGCGCCGGAGCATGCTGACGCCAGTGAGACATGGCAAGCGGCTGAGTTCATTGAGGATAAAATACCTTGAACCAACATCCGTTTCAAAGCGGACGTGGCACAGCTAGGCATAAGTGACAGTTTCCGTGCTAGGGGACGAAAGAAAACGCAGGATCTCGATCCTAAATGACAAAAAGACTTAGGTAAAATAGCCTAAATTTAGGATGACTTTTGCTAAGTTTATTTTGATACCCCGCAGCAAGGTCTGCTGTTTTCTTGCTCCCTGAGGGCAGTCGTCCTTTTCCGACGTGGCTTGAGCTGAAATGGATAGCGCGAAGCTTACTGGTGTTGAATTATGATCTTCCAATCAACGATGGATGGCTGGCTGAGGATGAGCATGAAAACAGTCTAGACTCCAGCGTTTACTGCCTCTGTGGCGTTTCCGTCAGAGCAGCATGATTTAATAATAGCTCTCTGTCCTCATTAGGTCCTCGTCTCTTTCTCATCTGGATTCTAATTTCTTCTGCATAATTCAGTGCGCTTCATGCCCTTGCAGTCAAGATGGAAGTGAATTACACCGCTATCACGGACTACTACATGATCAGGTGTTTCAGCGGGGGAAACTTCTACGTCTGCAAGAAACCTTCGACTAACTTAGAGTTTGTCGGATGCTGCAACTCGGATCCATGCGCCGACGGGTCTGGAATCTGCCCGCAAACAGACCTACGACCGATGAGCTACAGCCCAGGGCGAACAGCATACAAATTAGGTCTTGAATGCGGCGCTCTTCACAATGCATCTTTTTATAGATGCGATTTGTCAATGCCGCATTTCTTGGGATGCTGTGGTGTTGATCCTTGCGCGAGAGGCTGTCCCCAGAGCCAGTTAATCCCGGCGCAATTACCAGCGCTAGAAGGATGGCGAAAATTATTTCTCGAGCCATATCGTGTGCAGAATAATACAGCTTCGGATTTGAGGCCTGGGGTAGAAGTGAATAGCACTTTTGAGGCACCTGATTTTTCCAATATTAATTGGGATCGTGGTAAGCACGAAGTTGGACCTGCGACTGTTATAGGAATCTGTGCGGGTTTTCTAGCTGCAAGTCTGCTCGTTCTGGGACTTATACGGCATTATTGGTATAGGCAACCGATTGATATTTGGCGAAATTCATGCTGATAATTGTCCAGGCCGTCTTCAACTTCACCAAAACATGAACAAGCAGATACTGCACATGCCCCGTTTCTGGCCCACGACTCAAGTGACGATATCGCGTATTCGCAGATGGAAGAGACGATACCACATACCAGAATACGAGATAACTGGCATGGCGGCCCAAAGACGTTAGAGCATTGGGACGCACCAACGGTGTTTGGTTGGATCTTCAGCGTTCTTCTCACATTCACGCCCCTCTGCTTCATTGGTAAGACATGTCCCTGGATCTGAAGGGACAAACTAACCGGGAAAAGCCCTGGCTATCACGGCGATCCGTCTTGATAACCAACCTCATTCCGACTACGGCAAAACGGTCTTGCAACTAACGGTACTCAGTCCGTCGTTGTACCCCATCTTATTTGCTGCCTTAGTCGGGAGGTTCTACCGGGTATTCGGCCGATGGTGCCTTGAAAGCCGCGGCGGTGTAAACCTCCCTGTTCTAGAACAGTTGATCGGCAGTCAGAACTTGGCTACCGCCATTGAGCGAATTTTCGTAATACGGACAAATGCCGTTATTGGCATTATAATTCTCGCTTCCTGGCTTCTCTCCCCCTTGGGTGGACAGAGCTCATCGAGACTTCTCCAAGATGCAAAGTTCGACTTAGTATCGAATGGAACGGTTTACTACGCTGATCCAGCATATCAAGTGTCCCACTCGAGATGGATTGACTACCGACATAGCGTTGGCGCAACGTACGCTGCGAGTTTGCTGTCGTCTTCGAAGCAGAAAGCATCGCCGAGGGATATCTGGGGGTTGCCGAAAATTCCCCAGTTATCGCAGGATAGACTTGACAATGGCTCATACGATCTCTACGATGTGAAGAAATCTGACTTGGTCTCGGGCAAAGCCTCTTATGCTTCGTTGCTGGGTATCAAGATCCAAGGCCTCGTCAGGCCCAACGAGCCTACCAAGTTCAACTTTACAATATCAACCTCATATTTCCACGTCGGTTGCGATTTCGTCGACAGTTTCGACCCGTTACGAGGAAAGTTGACGCAGAATCAAACAAATATAGTCGATTTGTTCTACAAATACCCCAGCTTCTCTGCCTTCAACATCCTGCCGCAGTCGTGGTTCAACGCAGATGGGGAAGAAGATGACATTAACTCGCCCTATCAGTTCATATACGTCAAACAAATGCGCGGCTCTCAACTTTACGTCGTAAAGTGTGCCACTCACGAAATCAAGGTCGAAACAACCATTCATTGCGGACCTGGAGACCCAGCGACGACCTGCGAACCACGACAGCAACGGCGGCTTTCTACTGAGAACCAGACTGGAACCTCTCTGTTCCCACCATCGGTCACGCGAAGCGATTTACGTCTCAAAGAGTTGAGTTACGCTCTGTATGCTTGGGCGCAAGCTTCCGGTGACAAGGACGGAGTTCAGCCGTCGCCATCGGAGATGTATCTGATGAAAGATGAGAATCCGTATGAATTCACCAGTCAATTGCCGTGGACGAAAGAAGATCTCGCCAAGTTTCCATACGTGTTTTCCAGGCGAATGACGACTGCTTTCAATACATATTGGGACGCCGGATTGAATCCTGGAGGTCATACCAACGTCTCATACAGCACAATCCCATTGCACAACATGAATGGCCTGGAGACGGGTCAGACCTACAAAGACTCCTTCATGAACACCACCATGGGTACAAGAATAACCACGATTGATGTTTACAGCGCGCAACGCATCTGGGTCGGTCTGTTGCTATTCACAACAATGGTGCTGCAAATTCTTGCCATTTGCGGCCTCATTATCGAGATTCTGATCCAAGGCCCTGACGTTCTCGGTTTCGCTAGTACCCTAACCAGAGACAATCCATTTGTGCCGCTTCCGGCAGGTGGATCACATCTCGACGGACCTGAAAGAGCAAGATGTTTAAAGAATATGAGGCTTGAGCTCGTGGATGTGCGCCCTGAAGATGAAACTGGGTATTTAGCCGTGAGGGCAGTGTCATCGGCCAAAGGGCAGGATACGAGCGTGATTGAAGGGAGCGTAAAATCGAGAAAGTGGGTGCACTTGAATAGGAGGAGGCTGTACGAATAAAGGGACTAGCCTCGATAGAGAAGCTCCAAGTGCCGGGGCCGAGATATGGTAACTGCAGTAAACAGGGATTGCTCAGGTCCCTGATAAACTAAACAAATTTATCCTGTCAATGCCAGACTCAGATCTCGCTGAGTCACGCTTCGAGCTTCCCATAAAAGCGGTGCACATGCCCTCGACAGCGGTTCCGATAGGACACGGGTGATACCGAGCGTTATTTACGGAGTGGCACCCCCTGGACTTGGCTCTAGACGGCCCTGACGGCGCCCTAGCTCGAGGGCAAAAGGCTTGAATCACATCATGCCCCGGGCGTTGGGATGAGAAAAGGCTTAGCTGTTCACTAGTGACGCGTCTGTGAAATGCCATACGCTAAAGCCGTACGACGCATCCAATAAATCTACCGAAACAGTCCGCGGGCCCCGCCTCGGTTGCAGGGATCTCTCATTGTCTCGTAGCGTGAGAGCTTCGAGACTCTGCTCCTTCAGGCCTAAGCGTTGCCGGTTTTCCCGTCTATTTGGGACCAACAGAAATACGAGAATAAATGTAATTTGACTCCCTCGTAAAAAAAACACTAAAAAAGCTCGTTGGGCTGAACTTACATCTCCTTTTTTTTTATTCCCTCTCCCCTCCCCTCCTCCTCTTCCTCTCGTCTCGCCGTGTCTTTTTTTAAACATCAGGCGTTCTTCAACCAGGGCTTAAATTGGTAATCCCCTTCGTCCACCAAAAGTCAAAAGCGGAATTGTCCGAATTCTCTCTTTTTTCTTTAACCTCATGAAATTTGTCTATTTCCAAGCGAGGTGACACGTACGAAGAACAATCTCGCCCCCGAGATGAAGACCGCAAACCTCACACATATGGCCAAGCTGCTGATGCCACGCGCAAGCAGACAGAAGGGCGTCCTTTTGGCCATGGGCATTCTGGTGATCTTTGGATTGATAACACACACTTGGGGATTTTATTTTGAACCTCCCAGTCTTTTGTCGTACCGGTACGTCGCCACGCCAGTGGCTAAAATGTCGCCTAGCATTCCAGCGAAATGTCGCTAATAACAATCCGCTCGCAGAACAACACGGAGATCAAACCCGCATCAAGTGAAGCTCGCGTCGCACACGTCGAATTTAATGCATGATCTATGGAAGCCATTTCTTCTCGACATCAATGCGACAAGCTTTTATACAGATGAGGGGTACCTCTATGAAGTGCCCAAGGAGAACGAGAACTGGGCGAAGCCATTGGGCAAGAAGCTCCTCATTTTGGATGTTGACACTCGATTGGACAAGGGACCTGGCGCTGTGATGAATGACTCGGCGCTGGACTACAAGGAAATGAAGGGACGAACTGGTGGAATTATGAACCATTATCTCTATGGTATGTTCTTGTTTCGCAGCGCGGAGAAGGATGCTCGGCTAACAGACTTCAGCGATGATTCATGGCTATGACTACAAATTTGTCCGAGCTCCCGATTATCCTAAGCGACATCAGACATGGGTCAAGGTCCCAATGATCCGAGAAGCGCTAAAGTCCCACGATTTCGTTGTTTTCCTCGACGCCGACGCAGAATTCATGTACCCCCAGGTCCCATTCGAATGGTTGATGAAGCTATGGAACATCACGGAC